TCCCAGGGGCGTTTATGGTCCCAAAAGGCGTTTCTGGTCCCCACCTGTCGTTTTGCTCCTCAGCATGGYTKYCTAAAAACACTGCAGGATTTCTCAAACATGCATGAATGAGTCAGAGCAAGGCTTTGAGCATGTTTTTTTTAATGAGAATATAACATTATAACATGCATTAAACTGTCACAATTTCTTAGATGACGTAGTTATTTCAGGAGTTTAGTTATCACTGTAATATATTTTTCAGGCACTGTGTCGTTAATTGAGTTATTTTTTGTTTTTTCTATTTCTTTTTGAAACCGCAATTAGTATAAAAATGAGTCAGTTTCAGTTTAGAAATGAATGGAATCCCCAGTTATAAAGCTAAATGTATGTTTAGGGACACAGAATGTGTAGCTTTCTAATGACCAGCAGGGGTCGACTCCTGGTGGGCAGAAATTAACAACTTGAAAACAAGTCTTTTCTTTCCCCCCATTTCTACCCCGAGTTATTCTTGACATGCCCATGGAAGAGCTGCATATGAAAATCATCTGCCAGCTCAGTAGATAAAAACAGAACATGCATTTTCTTTTTTTACCTCTCCTAATTTTTTGTTTGTTTGTGTTAGAGCAGTGAGAACACATCTCCATCAGGAAAACTTCCTGCTGGAAAGTGTAAATGTGTGAGCAGCAGCTACAGAAAATATCTGAATCTAATTCTCTGCATTTTTATCAGAAATCACTGTGTTTGGAAGAGCAATCCACTTTCTTAACAATTATTGTATCTTAGGAAACATTTATCTTATTAGTTTATTGTTACAGACTCTAGTTTTATATCTTCTTTGAAAATTCAAAAGTAAAACAGACGAAGAAGAGTTTGATTCACGACAGAGTTTTTCTTAATTGGGATTGTCTGCTTCAAATAAAATTAAACACCAAACCTTCAGAAGCCTCCGCTTGTCAACTATTAATGAAATTTGAATATTTGTGAAAGAAAAAGTTATTGTGGAAAAATAATGAGGCAAACAGACATTTTTGTTCTTTGTCTTTTTATCCATTTCTGATTTGCTCTAACTCTCATATGTTCTCGCAGAAATAGTTGCTTCTCTTGGAAGAGTCTTCGGTTCAATTTTCTGCGCACTGCAGAGAGCACACGCTGATCTTCCTCCATGTTTTCATTAGTGCTGGTCTCTTGGGTCCTGGCCCTGCAATATCCATTAGCAGCTCTTTCATAGTGCAGAACACAGCACACTATGATATGCTGTCCTCAGACACTGATAAAACTGGAACAATATCTGCCATTTGCAGAGCCACACTGTTGTAAGATATGAAGTGCTGCATTAGGCTGCATCCCAGCATGTCATTTTTAGCAAAAAAAAAGAAAAAAAAAAGAAAAAAAAAAGAACTGCACTTTGAGGTGCCTAAAATAAGACAATTTTAAATTGAAAATAAAATGATTGGTATTTGCATTAAACCTATTAGTAAACTTAGCACAAAAAGTAGGGAAATTAGTGTTTTGTAGATTATTTCTTTGTTGTAACAAGGCTTCTTGGCAATAAATCATACTGTTGGAAAGCCTGTTAATTTACCTTTTTAAATGGTGCCACATTTGTAAGGAACATGCATTTGTGGGATGAGCAGTAGAGCTGAGTATGTGGGTGTCACACATGAAAAACTTGCCAAATCTTCTCTGCTCAACAGTTTATTGCTGTTGCTATTGGCTCTTGACTTGTTTTGAGCTTCAAGTACCCCCAGGTGCTGCCAGTCCAATGCCTGACTGGCAGCACTTGTGAGCATGGGCCATGCTATTAGTCAGTAGTAGGGATGCATGATAAATCTGACCAGATTTCCTTAACTTTGCGTGACTGGCGATTGGCTGTTACTATAAAAAGCTGATCTAATCTAAACTCTGTAAAGTTCTGAAAATCCACCACTGTCCCATTTTGCTTTGCTGTGAGAGAGGACTGTTGTCCAGTTGAAACAAGTTGGTGATGTTTCATGGGTTCAATGTTTTTCAATAAAATAAGATTGGAGCGTTGAAGGTATTGGGATTTTATAACACCTGACCGTAGCAGTTATTTAAAAAAATCTGTATCAACCAAAATTGAAATCGGCAGGTCAGACTTTTTAAATATTGGTGATTGGCCAGAAAACAGCAGTCATTGCACCCCTAGTCATTAGTTGTCTGCTTCAAGAATCGGCATGCCACGTTTGACAGCTCTGGATAGGGCCTGTGCGATAGAGCAACTTCAAGCTGGTGTTACGCAAAACAAAATGCAGTATTATTTGTAATGAGCCCTAATACCATCTCCAAATTGAAGAACAAGTTCCATATAACGGGGGATTTTAGAGACAGGCCGTGAAGTATGCATCTCAAGAAGAAGACACCAATGAAGAATGTTTCCTCTTGCTGTCAGCACTTACTGTAGGTACCATAGGTACCTTCTGTAGATTTGCAGTCAAGGAGGTGCCAGGCTGTTCTGGCTGTATATGGTTCTTCCACCGAGTCATACTTTTTATTAAATGGATACATTGTTAAACTGCCAATATGTCTTGTTCTTTCAAACTTCAATCATCCAGTCCACTAAACACTAAATGAGTCAAAGGGAGAATAAGTTGTTTGGCAATGGCTGAGGAGATTTGGCAAATTCTTGCATGTGCGCAACCCACATACTCAGCTCTACTGCTCATCCCACAAATGCATGTTCCTTACAAATGCGGCACTATTTTGAAAGAACATGAACAGGCTTTCCAACTATATAGGATTTATTGCCTAGAAGTGTTGTTACAACAAAGAAATAATGAGCCAAACACAAATTTCCATACTTTTTGTGCTAAGTTTATAGAAAAGCCTAAAAGATTTTTAGTAATAGTCAGAAGAATACGTATAATCTCTATAACACAACAATCCAGTTAAATAGTCAAACAAAGACAATCATGTCAAGGTACCACAAGATGGAAACCTTCAGAGTAAACGTATATATATATAAACTGCAAAACATAATTC